AATATTATTGCTTACATCGGTGCCCGATTCGGACGTAGTGTAGGAGATCTTTCATTGAGACCAACCCACGGTATTTTTGCTATGTGGTCACCATACAGAGACGTTCCAGGTACACAGTTAGTCTGCCCTCTGAAACCCTCATAATTGACCGTAATCACAAGAGTAATAGCAAGAGTGCCAGACGAGTTCACTCAACTTCTGCCCAATCTTGTTCCACCTGTATGCGGTGGTTGAACAACATCGCCAGTGACGACGAGAAAAGCTGGTTCTATGCTGACCGTATACAAAGCATCAGTAGTTGGATCGGGGGTGAAAACTATCAAATTTAGCACAACGTGTGCTTAGCTGCTCACGAATCTGCCACTGATTGCAAGAACTTCTCCCTAGCAGCGGCGTTGTACCAAGCCAGGTCTCCTGTAGACAAAGGTCTAGTTCAAGAAGAGGCTTCAGCTTATTCGCTACGACACAACTCTGAATCTCAAAGCTTAGTTGAGAAGCCGTATCAAGTCCACCGTGCAGCGATGACAAGCTCCTTCCAGAGGCCCTCTATTCTGCTTACTAAGTAATCGTCTTGTGGACAAAAGTACGATTCAAAGAAGAACCTCCCAATCGAGCTCATTGCCTTCGTTTGCTTGGAACAGCCGATCTTCTGCGAGCAGAGCATCGACTCTTTGGTGGACTCTCTTGTTGGCAACCTGTCTCCTATAGTGAATGTTCATATATTGATGATAGATACTGCTCTTTGTTAGAGGATTCATGACTCGAAAAAGTTGGAAAGTGGCTCGAGCTTTTGGGACACCTTAGAAAGCTAATTTTGTCAGCACGATAATGGGATGCCTTTCGTAGGGAGACGCACGAGAATTTCCGAGCTAGGTTCTTGAGATATTGGTCGTTGTAGCATGGGAGGTGAAAAAAATTATATAGCTGATCGTAGAAACATGCGTACAATGTATCAAGTAGTCGCGTTCAAAAACTGATCAAAATGAGTTAAAAGATCATAAGAAAATCAGAACAAAATCGATCAGTGAAAATGAACGGAGCTTCTGAACCTATGTATTCTAGTCTAAGAGTTTTCGAAGGTACCATTGCCGTATCATTCCATTTTCGTACTTCATAGCATTCAAAGTAATCTGCTCTCAAGAATCATAATCCTTTATCATCGACTTCTGATCATTATCTTACTTTCATTTTTAATACTGTCAACGATTACTTTCTTGTTATTTTGTTCTGCTTGTAGACTTATACTACAACTATTGAAAGTTTGGTTGCAAAAATTGTGCTGATCGTAATGCCATTTGCACTGGCAGTGACGGTTTTCGATCATCGAGTGTTGGCAATGGTACTGCCAATGGAAAGCGCAATGTTTTGCAGGTAAGGTGATTGCTGCTCATGCCTTAGCGAAGCTGAAACATCTCACTAAACAGAACATGATCTGCTCCACTGAAAGGTGCTGCATGTTCACAGTTCAGAGTGTCACTGCGAAGGTTGATATGTATCTATCTAATTTTGGTTGGAAGGTGAAGCGGTCTCAATGTGCTTTATTGGAGCGCTTTCTCTGAGCATTTCGCATTTGACTCGAAAGAATTTCTAATACAATAAAAGATAGATTTTAGATAGGTATTGGTCGAAGTTTATGGCCGATGTCAGACTTTGCGAATCGCGCGGCAATCAATCCTCCGTACTCTTGATGCTTTATACAGGGTGGGCAAAAATTACGGTAACAAAATAAAGTGTTCATGGAAAAGCAATGCGGCCTGGAAGACACACGTGGCCACCAGCAATGTATTCATAGGACTTATCAAACAGAATACAACATCATTTTTTGGACTGGCCGCTCTCTGTGTTTATATCTGCGTGAATTCATTTCGGAAACGCATCGGGCCTGTTGTGTAGGTAGGTGACATCGAGCTTTCCCTGGGATCTTCTTTAATTCATCGATTGTTTTAGTGATACTTGTAGCAGTCCATCGTCTTCAGTAGACTCCACTGAATATAACCCACTTGCTTTGAAACAGGAGAATAAGGTTGGCACCCGTTTAATGTCATGAATTTGGAAAGTTCTGTAAAACAATTATTGCACAGTATTTGCTTTTTGTACACGCGATCTATCTTGCTGGTGTGTCCAATGATTTCTCTCCGCGGTCTGTTCAGCCTGATGCATTTATTCGTCGATTCCCAAGGGTCTACATACGACAGGTGTTTGGGCATATGTGCTTTGTTATCCGTAAATCTCTGCCCACCTGGGTATAACTCTCGCGTCCAGCACGAGCACCGATATATACACCTGAACAGTTCTTGTTTCATCGATCCTGCGATTCGACCTGTTGTTCCAACCCACCTGCCTCAATGATCTACCCCGCTCGACCACAAGAATCGCTGGTCGGCCAGAAGCCTTACGAGTCCGACACCTCGTAGCAGTACAGGCTACTCGCTTCTATGCTTGACTATACTCTCGTCCGCATATACGGTCCTCATATTAAATTACGTGACGGTGCTTTCGTAGATGCGCCTAGACTAACTGTATCTCTCTCGTTGTCCGCTCTGCCGGGCGTTCGTTACGATATGCTGAGCGAGCACCATCATTTTCCACTCATTGCTTTAGATCTGCCCTTCTTGCACCGAATCTCACTCTCATAATTGACTCGTTAACTCAAACTAAGACAGTTCCGATCGTCTAACTAGAGTATGCCCACGAGACACGAGTTCACTCAACTTCTGCCCAATCTTGTTCCACCTGTATGCGCGTGCGATCCCTTGAAACATACAATCGACTCGCGCCGTGAATCAGAATGCAATACAAAATCCTCGTTATCCTCTTTGTCTGACCCCGACCCCTATATCAGGACTCTGGAGCAAGATACATCTAACGTCCCCCTTCCACAGTCTACACCTCCCTCCCTCCCACTTCGGGTCAACTAAATAGCCGTACCTATCAAAACACCTGCTTATCTATAGTCTGCTTCGAACTCGCGTGACATCAGTATAGAATTCCCATTTCAGCGCTCACTAGTGATACAAACCCGCGACGTTAAGCTGCAGAAATATACCAGCCACGTCAAGTGATTAAGACAGCGCTCCAGTCGTACAAAAACCACATAATACTGGTGCCATTCTAATTGGTGTTTTACAGAACTTCTTCACTCTTACCCAAACTTCATGTCATTAAACGGAGCAAACTCTCTGTTTCTCCACGTTGCCAAAGCAACTTGCCACGTCCTATATCTCACCGCTCGGATGCCTTCTCACTAAATCTGAATGGACTCTTTGCCCCTGACAGGTAGACAAAACAATCGATGAATTACAGAGATCCCAGGCGAAAGCCCTCGATCACCCCCTTGTCGATCTCATCCAAATTTCTTCATTTCAGTATAATTCTATACTACATCTGTTCTACTACCATACACAGGGTCGAAAGTAGCCCTGGTACTATCATCACGCATACCATGTCCAATCTTTCATCTGGTTCATCAGTAGTATATCACACAACAACACAGCGATCGAATCTATGCCGGCCAGTTTCACCACATAATCATATGCTGCGTGTATCGCGATCCTCAGTTATTCGAATCCAACCAGTTCCCGCGCAGTGTATTCGCGACATTTTCACAGCTTTGCTGATCACCCGTACGCGCATCCCCGGTATTCCTTGGCAGGACTCCAGCACCTACCGTCGACTCATTTTCCCACGTCCTGCCGCTCCCAACCGCCCAGACTGCCCCCCCTCTTCCGACCAATGCCCACGCCTTACAACCCAATCTTGAACACGACCCGCTTTTCAAATATGTGTTCATTTTCTCTCCTACCTTCTCTCGCCCTCGCTACCTTTCTAGCAAATTGTTTCGCAGACTCCTTCCCACCTGCTACAAAGCCCATCAGCTACCTTGCGCCCTTACTGATATGACTCGGGAGGTGAAAAACTATCAAAATTTCGAGGCTACCAACGTGTGCTTAGCTGCTTCAACGAAATCTTGTCCCACTGATTGCAAGAGCTGCTCCTAGCAGCGCGTTGTACCAAGCAGGGTCGTCCTGTAAGTAAGCTCTAGTGTCAAGAAGGAGGCTTCGCTTATCGCATACGACACAAACGTTGGAATCTCAGAGTCTTAGCTGAGTAGCCGTACCAGTCCACTCGTGCAGCGTGACAGCTCTTCCCAGAGGCGTCTATTCGCAATCATTTGTGGAACAAAGGTGAGCGATTTAAAAGAGAACCTCCAATCGAGCTCATTGCCTTCGTTTGCTTGGAACAGCCGATCTTCTGCGAGCAGGGCATCACTCTCTGGTGGACTCTCTCGTTGGCAACCTGTCTCCTATAGTAAATGTTCATATATTGATGATACTGCTCTTTGTTAGAGGAATCATAGACTCAAAAATTGTTGAGATCGTGGCGTCGAGTTTTGGGACACATTAGAAAGAGGTTTTATCAGCACGCATACTGGGGGATGTCGTAGGGAGACGGAGGAGAATTTCCGCGCTAGGTTCTTGAGATATTGCCTCGTCGTTGTGGCATGGGAGGTGAAAAAAAATTATATAGCTGATCGTAGAAACATGCGTACAATGTATCAAGTAGTCGCGTTCAAAAACTGATCAAAATGAGTTAAAAGATCAAAGGAAATTTTTGTCAGAACAAAATCGATCAGTGAAAATGAATGGAGCTTCTGAACCTATGTATTCTAGTCTAAGAGTTTTCGAAGGTACCATTGCCGTATCATTCCATTTTCGTACTTCATAGCATTCAAAGTAATCTGCTCTCAAGAATCATAATCCTTTATCATCGACTTCTGATCATTATCTTACTTTCATTTTTAGTACTGTCAACGATTACTTTCTTATTATTTTGTTCTGCTTGTAGATTATACTACAACTATTGAAAGTTTGGTTGCAAAAATTGTGATGATGAGCATTTGCACGGGAGTTGATCGGTTTTCGATCAATCGACGTCGTTGGCAATGGTACTGCCAATGGAAAGCGCAATGTTTTGCAGGTAAGGTGATTGCTGCTCATGCCTTAGCGAAGCTGAAACATCTCACTAAACAGAACATGATCTGCTCCGCTGAAAGGTGCTGCATGTTCACAGTTCAGCAGAGTGTCACTGCGAAGGTTGATATGTATCTATCTAATTTTGGTTGGAAGGTGAAGCGGTCTATGCGCTTTAATGGAGTGCTTTCTCTGAGCATTTCACATTTGACTCGAAAGAATTTCTAATACAATAAAAGATAGATTTTAGATAGGTATTGGTCGAAGTTTATGGCCGATGTCAGACTTTGCGAATCGCGCGATTCGCTAGCGTCTGCGGTCGCGTCGCGGCCAGTGAATCACTCAATTGGCTGGTACCGCAACGCGACCGCGGACGCTAGCGAATCGCGCGATTCGCAAAGTCTGACATCGGCCTTTAAAGGACAGCAAAACAACTTCTGAGGATGACGAGCAACCGTCAGAGGAGAATGTTATTCTCTCTGAATAGCCTTTGGGTCGGGCTCTTGTTTCTGCTTCATACTCTATTTGAAATCGAATCTGCTGAATCACTGAGCGCCTTGTTCTGGCGTAAAGAAGATTTTGGGGAAGTAAAACATCAATCAGAATCCATCAATCAAACCAATCTGACAATCTGGTGGATAATTGCCAAGTTGTCAAAACTTCACCAAAATTGGTCCAGGTTCGCCAAAAGCGAAATCAAAGGAATAAAATGGACCCAATTTCGCGGTTTTCCGGTCGTTTTCTCTCTGGTTTTCTTGACCAAAGCATCCCTACTACCTCTACTTTCGGCCCCGATTGGATGGGTTTTTCGTACAATCCACTTTTCGGGTCCATAACGGGTACATTAATACAATAAGTCATGGGGTTCAGTGATGAATTTTCTGAATTTTTCGCTTAGTTTGATGTCAGTAACTCCCACAATTTCATTTTTAAAATGAATTTCAAATACGCACGTCGCTCACTTTGAAAATCTCATCTTGTCAGGAAATGTCATTAGGTCAGTCCGGCCAAATGAAATGAGGTGCACATTTCTGTACGCACATGAGACGCTGAACTCAAATCTGCTTTCATTATCTGCTGAACTCTTCTCTGAAAGGAGTTATGGAGGGTTTTATCCGTGGCCCTTCCCTTTTGGGTCTTACCTGCCATTACATATAAACTCCATTATAAACGTGATTTAGAACAAGCATAGAGAGCTGCAGTGGCTCTGCTGTTGCGGTCTTTTTACGAGCGAGGACCTTTCTTTTGGAGCTTGTGTTTAATTTTTTTAGCTAGGAAACCTTTTAAATACGTTATTTCATCAACGGTCGCCTGAAGCGATGTCTACGATGGGTGTGCGAGCAGTTTTTTTTTGAGTTCGAGCATTGATCGTCTATGATTGTCCCTGGTGTCCATAGTGCAGGTGTAGACTTTTCCTCTGAAGACGAGTTTCTAGCCGCACGGAGGTTATGTATGACCAGTAAAGAAGAAAAGAATCAGGCTCGGGTTACCAGTTCCCAAACAGCAATTCTAAAGTTCAGCAATCATGAAGAGAGATGCGAGAGAGGGTTGTACCTGGGAATAATGCCTTGCAGAGCCAAGGAATGATACAGGCAAACAAGCCTAACACTTTTTTTGTCTTTTCTGGAGTGTGTTTAGAAAGTCAATTTCATCTCAACACCAGCCTTTTGTATGGATTAATGGATTAGTAAGTAAATGACAGCTCATTTTTTGAGGACCCACTGCCGGCCACCGAGAGAGCACGACCCCTCCCTCTAAAACCTAAAGTACGACCCCCTCGTTGGTACTTGTCCCAACATAGGGTTGACCCTGGTGGCGAAGTAAATAGCGTTGATTTGGGCGTTCCCAGTGGTGTTGGGCGGAGTCAATGCAGCATCCTGGGGCCTTGAAAAAGAGGTCGTTCAGGGTGTGGAGCGCTTTTTCAAAACGGTTTTTTGCATGCTGTAGGGGCTCTCACGTGGACTACAATACTGTTTCATTTTCGCTGAGCGGCCCCCTGAAGGCCAAAAAAGGGTCATAAAATTTGATGAGAATTGCGTGGTTTTTACACCTTAGAGTAAGGTTTCGGACTTGTAGAGAAGATGTCATGCACAATGAAAGGTTGTGAAGATGATATCGAAAACAACGTGAAATTTATTCAAAATTGAAGTACTGTTAGTGGTAGTGCTGAAGAAAGTGTTGAGGTTTCAATAAGCGTCGTCGGTATCCTCTAAACTGCAGAGGTCTAGTGGTCAAGTGGATAGCGTAGTGATCTCGGGTAGGCCCATGGTCTGGTAGGCTCCTCTCCACGGTATGTTTTGCATTTTTGATTGTCACCCCTATATCGGCGTTGCGGTCCTTGAAATGGCTCCAGCTATGGAGATGAGGCTCTGCGAATGGAGAAACTGAGTACTCAACATATCACGTTTTGGAGGACAGAAGAATCTGCCAACTTCAACTCGTGCGGATCGATCACCAGCTTGAGTGTCTGCCATTGTCCATTCTGTGGTGGAATCTTTTATTAGGATGGGATTGCGGAGGAGGAGGAAACTCATTCGATAGCTACATTTTTTAGTCGGTTGGAGTACGCTATTGACCTATCAATGGCCAATTTTTTGGATTCAAGTCTAAGTCTCAATTCCCTTTAAAACGTCTGACTGAAAGAATATCGAGTGCCCTGATCACGGATATGACATCAGTTTTTTTTTCGATAGCTCCATGTTACACTACTTCGGGGCGAACTGGCACCATTATGGCGCTGACATTTTGTTGTGATTAGATGTGCAGAATTCGGAGTGCGAGTACTCTGATGGTTTGATGACTGACCGATATCAAATATTTGGCTGGCTTATCGCTTTATTTAAAAGCGAATCCGAGCTCACCTGAAGTGCAAAATTTTTCATCAATAAGGGTTGATTGGATCAGTTTTTACCATTTTTGGCCTTCAGGGGGCGTTCGCGCCAGAGATGTAAAACGATTTTTGTAGGTCCAGTGAGAGCTCCGTTACAGTATGCAGAAAACCGGTTTGGAAAAGCGCTCCACGCCCTGAATTGCCTCACTTACTAGTGCTTAGGCCTTGTCAAGATCCCGAGGCTGTGTACATGCTCCCCGCTCGCGTCCTGTTGCATTTTTTCGGGGAAAGGCTCAATTTCCCGCTTCTGCCGGCCCTTGATTCCACTGGAATCATGGATGTATTTAGGTACTATTTCCTTCAAAAGTTTCTTCTCGTTATCTGGCGGCAGTGTTTGCAATAATTATACCAAATTTTTGGCATTTGCGCTGCATTATAGACGAGTACACATTTACCGCAATCAAGGCTTCTTATTTCTGCGGATGCAGGTTGATGGAAAGTAGGATTGTCATTGGAACAAGCCAATGAGCATAGTATTGGGATTCTTTCGAAGAGGAAAGACTGAAGTAATCATCATGCCAACATAGGCACTGCCTCTTGCCGTTGTACATAGTATGGAAATCTCAGATGAACTAAAAGGATGTCACATTGCGTGCAAAAAATACTTTTCCTAGGCTTTGTCTTCTCGTATGTCCCTCCTTGCTGTCTGCCACACTCCTGATGATCACTTTATTTCCAACTGATCGCAAGGATACCTTCGAGCCACGATTCCCGATGTCACTGAGCACGTAAGATTCTTCACTCATTCTCATTAACTTAATCTTGACTACTGGTGGGACACATGTGTCCCACTTCGTAGTCAAAGTCACTACCACAGTTTTGGCACTTATTGAGATCGGAGGGTCCGCTTTATGGCGGAATTGTGCACAACTAGAAACTTGGTAATTCTTACTCTGTCAGCGAAGTATCAGAAGTCTAAGCGAGTTACGCTGGATAAGTTGATAAGCAAGTCGTTCCACAGGTTACTGGGCAGTGTGCACAGCTCCCGAGAAGGTAGTTTTCGAGTCTCAAATTCTTTGTATTGTGTTAATGGTTCTAATATTTCCTCAATTATTGTGAAACAGGTGAAACATAAGCAAAGCCGGGTGACGGATGGAGGTTTTTATCGGCCGCAAGCCAGCTAGAGGACGACAGCGTTTTACGACTGCGTTGGGAATTCCAACCTCCGGAATTTTGTCAGTTCGTTTGATGCGGAAGTGGTAGTAGAACACTCCTATGATGACGCAGCTTTCGAGCATAAAAACCAGCGAAAATTCGTTAGAGGAGAAGCAGCCGGTGGGCGCAGCCTGTAGGCAGGGGAGCAGCACTTCTACAAAGTGCGGCTTGCAATTCTTTTCAAGTGCGTTCCCAACCAGACATTGCCTAGTTCCACGAATGAGATGTGATAAATGTGTATTGTTGAATAGTATTTGAACTGTTCGAAAATGCTCATTCGAGCGGAGATGGTGTGGTGACAGGAGGGGCCACTGCCGCGCACATGGTCTCTGGATCGAATCCCAGCTCAAACCCAGCGCGCATCAGCCAAATTTCTACAGATGATTAGTTGTTGCTAGGAGCAACTGTTACTACATAAAACACATCGATAACTTGTTTTTAAAAAAGTCGTAGTCTAAGGGGTTAAAGGACTAGAGA